CCTAGGCCCCTGCACCCACGTGGGTGGTTGGCATTCAGCTCTGGCTTTACCCTACTGGAGGGGCCCCTCAGGAGGGCACCGCTTGACTGAATGCTTCCCACCTGCCTTGGGCACGGGAATCCCACAGCTGTGTTGTGAGCGGGCGCTAACGGTCACCTGGTGTCTCTGCCGATGACCACGAAGGCCTCTTGCTGCAGACTGATGGCTTCCTTCTCGCTGATGTCCACCAGCACTCTCAGCACATCCTCTTCCTCGGCGTTGGCCAGACAAGTGGCGTGTTCCTCCCAGGCAGGGGCCAACATTTCCCCCAGGGGATCGATCAATTTTACACCATTGTCTTCCTGAGGAGAGAAAGACACCATGAGCAAGTTCACATTTATGAGGGAAAGTGAGGAAGCAGGACCCGTGGTGGCTTCTCCCTGTCCGCAGCCAAAGGAAGCTACCGCTGAGCGGCTCCTGCTCGTGCCAGCTAACACCAATGCCAGGCCCAGCCTGGGTGTGGCACAGATGAGGGGTCTTCAGGAAGTCTATGGGAAGCAGGGATAACACGTATGGATTTCAAACATTTCTACACCAAGACACTTACCCTCCAATCACTGTTTTCTACACTTAAGTCCCCTTACGCATTGTCTTGACAAAGTCTCATAATACACGTGTCAAATTAACTGAAAATCCCACAGGGATGAAAAAAATGAGATTGGACAATACATAATCCCACAGCTAGTAGATGGCAGTGCTGCTGTAAAAACATCTGGTTCACCTGACTTCCAAACTCAACAAGCGCTGTGTCATACCAGCTGTTGAAGAGGCTGCGCCATGCATCCACTATCAGACAGGAGCACAGAGGGCACACAGAGCACCTCCTCCTCTGCCTCTGGATGCTGAGAGCCAACTGACCAGCGTGCCAACTGGAGGGCAGCACAGAAACTGAAAGCACTCCCAACTCCGCTCTGTTCTCATTCCTGGAGAGCGGAAATGAATGGAAAGAAACAGACTGTTCTGACAGCACTTCTGTAGCTGGGAGGTGCTTTTGAGGCACCATCAGTCAGTTGCAGTCACTTCCCCCTTTAGACATGTACACGTTCATGGGGATCACACATTTGGAAGAGGGACTGTGTGGGGGAGGGGAGGTCCCAAGGCGTCACTGACCCACAGGGCTTTATCTTGCAGCTGATGCAGCCGCACAGGCAAACACATCACACCTCACCAATGGGCAGCACAGTCTTTCATCCATGTAATCCGTGGGTTATCAGCAGTCAGAATGAAGCAGGCTGCATCAAAACATTAACAAAGACAAACAACCTGCTAGTTCCTAGGTAAGTGTCCCCTGACAGAGGAGTAGCTAAAGAAGATGCAGTGGTGTGTACGTGCAGAGTTCTCATCCAGCCTTGGAAAGGAAGGAAATCCTGCCATCTGCCAAAGCCTGGATAAACCTGGAAAACAGTGAGCCAAGCAGAACGGCCAGACAAGGAACACATCACAGCGTCCCACTGAAAGTGAACTTCAAGGGGAACAGGAAGTAGAAAAGTGGCATCCAGGGGCAGGAAGTGGGGAAGGTGTTGGGGTGTTGGTGAACGCGTACAAAGTGATTAAGTTCTAGAGGCCCAACTGTACTGATTATGGTTACTAATGCATACTTCCCATTTATTAGTGGACTTCAGAGTATTCTCATCACATACACAGATATTTATAAGAAATGATATGCACATGTTACAGTAATGCTTTCATAATGTACATATGTATCAAAATATGAAGGTGCACAACATGAATATACAGTTTGTGAGACTTGTAACTCCAATAAACTAAAAAAAATTAAGGCTGGAGCTGTGGCATAGTGGTTTAAATCTACGCTTGTATTGCTGACACTCTATATGAGCACCAGTTCAATTCCTGACTGCTCCACTTCCAATTCAGCTCCCTGCTGATGTGCCTGGCATGACTGAGGACTACCCAGGCCCTTGGGCCCCAACACCCAAGTGAGAGACCTGGAAGATGCCCTGGCTCCTGACTCCTGACCAACCCAGCTCCGGTCATTGTAGCCATTTGGGGAGTGAATCAGCAGATGAAGCTCTCTGTCTCTTCTAATTCTGCCTTTGAAATACAAATAAACTTTAAAAAAAAAAAAAACAATTTTTTAACAAAATCAAAGCACTGTGTCAAAAGGATTACTTTGATTAAAAGCTTAATTAAACAGACTCACCAGTCTTCAGTGACACTCTGCTGCAAACGCACGCTCGCCCGCCCTCTCTCCTTCCCTACTTCGTCAGCACAGGAATTGCCAAGCCACAGAAAAGCTGCCTGAAAAGGCTCAAACCCGTGCCTGGCGTCCCTTCCCTTACTGAATTTCAATCTCTCCCATCACTGTTAACAGGCGTTAACATTTTTACATGACTAACCCTAGCTCAGTTCAACTAACAAGGAAAAACATTCTCTAATGTTTCTAATCATGGATACTGTCCAAAAAATGACATTTTAATTTCAGATTCTCCACACCCACTAAAGAGTCATGGGCTAAATGACCACTCCCTTAAGAAAAAGCTGTTCCAAACCTAGACACAGTCCAAGAATCAGAATTGGTCCTTTGGGTCTAACTGCCTGACGCCAAGGATTAGTCTTATAAACAACAGTTTGCTGTATCAATAACACTCAGAAGCATCACCTCAGGATTGTGTGACGCTGTCACCATGACACCAATGGTGGACGTGGTCTGTTTGGACCTCAGGACAGCTAATAAGCCCATGCGGAACATCACGTGATCAAGATGCTGTGCCTTCGTTCGGAATCCCGCAGTCCCATACTGAAGGGTCAGTCCAATGGGCTTGGCGTGTACCGCGGAGTGTCTGCTGATCACATCTGAATCCATGTCTGTAAAGGGAAGACGCTTTTCAGGCAGAAGAACTGTGCAAAGGACCATTCTCTTCTCATCTAGCACGCCAGTCTGACTCCACATCTGCCCAAGAAATCTTAAGTTCCAGGGAGTAAAGAAATCACGATGGGTTGTGTCCACCGTGTCCAGCGCTGAACCGATTCAGGGCTGGAATCCCTCTGCTCCTAAAGTTAGATCCTCATGTGGCCCGAGCCTGCAAACATCTGAGCAATGAATGTGGGCTCTTGCTCCTCCTCCCAGGGAAAAGGAAGGAACAAGACCTCCCTCTGCCAGCGCCCTCCCAATACAAGATCCAACACCAGGGGCCTTCAAAAACTCCATGGGCAATGCACGCTCTGTTTAAAACACCACGCACGGACAGGGAGAATCCTCACACCAAAGTAAAGCTGCCTTTAACTCTACTTTCCACAGCCCTTTTGAATTATTCTCACGTACTCTGTATGCCCAAAGAACCAGGATATCCTCCCAAACATAACTCTGAACCTATCAGCATCTTCTAAGTAGAACCACCTGTGTGGCTGAATTAACGAAACACGCTCCAGCCTTCAGCACACCAACACTTCTCCCTGGGCTCCTCCACTTAAGTGGAACTTGCGATTGCCAATCTTGGATTTCCAGTATACCTGAATCAGTTCATTCCCAACTGGCCCAGAGAGTGGCAATCTTACAGCTACCAGCCTCACTATCTTGCCTTCCTAGCCTTTATTGCTTCAATAAGCAAAAAACAATCAGAATTGGTGAGAAATAACTGCCTTTCTCTTGCTGGAAAGAGCTGGCATTCTACAATGCTATTTCAGCGTGAGCAAATACAGATACGCTTTTTTTTGTAAAAACCGACCTGTCCGGAAAGCGTCGTGATTATGAGTCAGGGTGTACACCCACCTTGTAAGTTTCAGAGAAGTCGTCTGAAACGTTTCCACACTTTACTGCATCTTAGGCTTTAAAACTATTTGCACTGAGGATGCGGACACTTTAAAGGTAGGTTTTGCCAACTGCCAACAGCGGCCACTCTCACCAGAGCTGAGTATCTCTGCTCTCCATTCAATCTTCAAACCACGTCAGCTGCGCTCTCCTCCCAGCCCCGTTCTCCACCGTGAGGTCTCGGTGCAGGCTAGGGGCCGGGGACCCCCACACCGACCCCGGGGGGCGCAGGGAGCGCCCGGGGAGGCGCGTCGGCCGCGGTCCCCGAACCCACCCACCCCGCGAGCCTGCCAGCGGCGCGCCGCGGGGCCCAGGAGCCGGCCGGCCGGCTCCCACGCAGCCCGGGACGCTGCGGCCGCCCTCCAGCCCCGGGCCCGCTCACCTCACCGCTGCGCTCCGCTCCCGCCGCCGCGCGCACAGGGACCCTGCGCCGGCGCCCGCAGCCTCCGCACCCCCGGCTCCCCGGTCGCAGACGTGGCTCTGCGTGACTTCCGGCCCGTGGCCACGCCCCCCGGCCAATGGCGCCGCGGGAGGGCCGCCGGTCACGCGCCGCTCGCGCCTGCGGAACTGCGGTTGCGGCTCGGAGCGGGCTCCGGGGCTGTTGCCACTGAATGAGCAGGAAGGGTGAGGCCCCGCGCTGGACCCGGGGGTTGGGGCCCGAGGCTCCAGAGCAAGGCGGCCGCGGAAACGCAGCCTCCCTTCTCCAGGTCGGGACGCGAGAAGAGGCAGGTCCTGCGCCCCCGGGAGGTCGGGGTACCTGGTGGGCTTGGATGGGGGCGGTGATGAGGACCCAGCCTCGAGCTGGGAGCTCTGACGAGGTAGCCTCTGCCGCAGTGGGCGCCATGACATTTCCCGCATCCCTTTCTGAATCATTGATGTCATCTTCCAACCCTCTGAAGACGAAAAGCATCTTAGGGCCACAGTCATTTCCCCCTTCTGCTCCCTTCTCAGCAGGTTCGCTCTAAACGTCAATTATTTATTGACTTCTAAGACTCCACATCCCCCAAGGATACACGGGGGTGGGTGAATCTAGCTTCTCCGGAGCCCCCGACCCGTCTAGTGGGACTCCCGGAAAGGGAGACCGGCCCCTCCGGAAGGCAGTGGCACAGAACCAGGGCAGCGGGACCCTGGCGCCGGAGCCCCCTTTCCTGCCTGCACTGCGGATCCGGGACCCGCAGGGGGATCCAAAGACGGGCTCCTGCTTTTCCCAGAATTCGGGCTCGCCGAGCATCCACAGGTGTGATTTGCCAACCACCTGCAGCGGGTCGGCGGGAACACCTGTTGCAAGCGCAGATTCCCAGCTCCAGATGGCAAGGCGGGGTGTAGGAAAAGGAACTGGGAAAATGGATTTTAATGGAGTCTCTTAGGTAATGTTGTGCCTGTTGGATTCGGAGATCAGGCGATAAAGCAGAAAGGGGTAAGAGGCGGGGATTGGTGTCCCCGGCTCCTGCGGGATTGCTTGCAGGTAGAGGGAGCCCCGGGAAATGCTGGGGGTACCCGCTGACAGTGACAGCGGCAGTATCTCGCCTTTCCAGGTTTCCCGGCAGGTTGATTCCGAGACAACATGTCGGCTTCGGTGAAGGAAAGCCTTCAGCTTCAGCTGCTGGAAATGGAAATGCTGTTTTCCATGTTTCCTAACCAAGGGGAAATAAAGCTTGAAGACGTGAATGCCTTGACGACTATAAAGCGCTATTTGGAAGGCACCAGGGAAGCGCTACCACCCCAAATCGAATTTGTGATTACGCTGCAGATTGAGGAGCCTAAGGTGGGTACCCTCATTTGTGGTTGAAGCGTTGGCAGGTGTCCAGGTTTTAACTGGAACATCTAGAAAGGCAAGCTTCCTATCCAGGAAATAAAGTGGGAACATTCCAGATGTTTATTTTCTTAGTTATTGAAAAGCAAAAGCTACAAAACGAGGAAAACTCCATGAACTACCTTTGGCCAAAAAAAAAAAAATTCTAAAAAATTCTAAATTTCATATAAACATACACACCTTTTGAACAAAGACACCTAGCATTTTTGTTGAAAATGTCTTGCAGTCTTAAGCTGTTATTGCTTTGTGCACTCAATTGCTTGCCAGTCTGGCTTATAGTATGGGCTACTTTTTACAAATACCAAGATTTTCACAAATCCCAATACTGACTTAAAAAAAAAACACAAAAACTAGCTTTTAAGGAGTGAATTGCTTTTTTCCTGGTTGATTTTGATGGCACCATACACGGAAAGCGTAGACAGCTACAAAATCTAAATGCTTGAAGTGAGTTTACCTGCCTCTGGGGTTTTTGGCTGGCCTAGACCACGTGTGGCTTTAGCATCTGACATTCGCCTCTGTGTCCTAATCCTCCAGTTGTCTCTTCCCCCGGGGGAGAATTCCTGGTTCTGCAGACTGGATTTTGCCGCTCACACACATCAATGCGACCCTGAACTTTTCCATGAACATACTTCTCACAATTGAATTTACATGTGTTTTATGTGGTTGTTTAATGTGTCTCCTCCAGGCTGTAGTCTTAGTGGAGGGCAGAACTAATGTTGGCTGCTTCATTTCTTAATCCCAGGATAACATACTGGGCATGTGTAGCTGTTCAAGAAATATCTGACACAATGAATGCACCAACAGACACTGATGGATATAAAGTACTCGGTGCATGCATGACAGAAAGATCACAAGGACTATTTCATTTATTAGAATCAGGCAGCTGCCAGTGAGAACTTTTGTGATTTTCTTGTGCTCTTTAAATCTCTCTGATTTCCATTTTAAGGCGAAAATTGATTTGCAAGTAACCATGCCTCACAGCTACCCCTATGCAGCCTTGCAGCTGTTTGGACGGTCAGCTGAGCTTGACCGACACCAGCAGCTGCTGCTCAACAAAGGTCTCACTTCCTACATCGGGACTTTTGACCCAGGTGAGCTCTGTGTATGCGCAGCAATCCAGTGGCTCCAGGACAACAGCGCCTCGTATTTCCTGAACAGAAAGCTCGCGTACGAACCGTCCACACAGGCAAAGCCGGTCAAGAACACGTTCATCCGGATGTGGATCTACAGTCACCATATATACCAACAGGACCTAAGGAAAAAGATTTTGGAGGTGGGGAAAAGGTTGGATGTGACTGGCTTTTGCATGACGGGAAAGCCTGGCATAATCTGTGTGGAGGGATTCAAAGAGCACTGTGAGGAGTTCTGGCACACGATTAGGTACCCCAACTGGAAGCACATTTCCTGTAAGCATGCAGAAAGCACCGAGACCGAAGGCGATGGCGAGGACCTGCGCCTCTTCCATTCATTTGAAGAATTACTCCTTGAGGCCCATGGTGACTATGGATTAAGGAATGACTATCACATGAACCTGGGCCAGTTCTTAGAATTTCTCAAAAAACACAAAAGTGAGCATGTGTTTCAGATACTATTTGGCATTGAGAGCAAAAGTTCAGATTCTTAGGAAACCATTAGCGGCCTAAATTGTCATTTCAATCAGTCCGTGTTTATGTTAATACCAAAGGTCACAGGCTGCATAGAGCAGCCTGGATGGAAGACCTAGCTTCTGGGTTTTGACCTGGTAATGAAATGAAAGGGTCTTTTAACTTGGTAACTGTGCAATTGTGATGTTGTCCCTACGTGCTTGTGTGAAGTCACTTGAAACAATTTCATTGTAAACTAATAAAAACAATCCATTTAACCAGTGATGCTGATTTGCTTAAAGATCAATCTAAACCTCACAGTTAACATCGGAGACCAGACTGCAGTTACGAATTCATAAATATGAATAACACCTCTCCATCTCATGATACCAGCACCCAGGTGACACACCAACCTGTCTTACATTATTGCAGATGAACTCTAGACCAAGGTCAAAAAGACAACAACGGGAGAATACATGTTTGCTACATTTCTTTAAGTCAATTCAAATGTTTTTAGTTATGCTAGATCTAACAATGGCATCGGAACCACAGGAATGAAGTCCAGGAGCAACACAAGTGACCACAATGCTGAGCATCCTGCTGTTTATTTCAGTTGGTGAATGATACTAGTGAAATTGATACGATTATTTTTAGCTCAGTTCTTTTCCACCAAAGAAGCATGGCTTTTTGTCTACACAGTGTTGAGAGCGAATCGGTGTCGATGACCGCACTGTCACCTTACTTGTGGGAGGAGAGCATAAAATATGTGTATATTTAATGACATTGATGCTCAGTGTTGCCTCTTCTAAAAATTGAAAACCCTACCAGCTGTTTTCTACCGAGAGCCACCACTCCCAGTAGCTCTTGCTACGCCTTTTCAGTACACGGTACCCACCCCTCCCCAAGAGTTTTTGGGTGTCTCAGATGCTTTCATGTAAAGGGAGGATGACCTAAACTGCCAAGGACCTTTCCCGGTGCTCCTCAGGACTGACGCAGTGGAGGGGTCATTCTCCTGTGTAACCTCCCACGACTCTGAATAGGATGATTGACATTCTTAAGTTTGGGCCTGAAGCAGATAAAAATATTTCCTTTGAAATAAAATATTAAGCACCTACCTACAAAGTTCTTTCCAGAGATTACTTAGCAAAAGTCACTAAATATACATAAATAAGCTTAAAGAACTAAAATAAAGGGCCCAGTGCAGTGGCCTAGCAGCTAAAGTCCTTGCTTTGTACACACCAGGATCCCATATGGGCACTGGTTCTAATCCCAGCAGCCCTGCTTCTCATCCAGCTCCCCGCTTCTGGCCTGGGAAAGCAGTCAAGGATGGCACAAAGCCTTGGGACCCTGCACCAACATGGGAGACCATGAAGGGCTCCTGGCTCCTGGCTTTGGTTCAGCGCAACTTTGAACATTGAGTCAGCTTGGGGAGTAAATCAGTGGATAGATGATCTTCCTCTCTGTCTCTCCTCTATAGCTGCCTTTCCAATAAAAATAATTTTAAAAAAAGGAACTAAAATATAGAGCAATCTGATTCTTTATACATATAAATAACCAAAGGGAAAAAAATTAGTTTATGATATCCTATTTTTCAGAAGATACTTTTACATACCCAGGCTGAGCATTTAGCAATAAATCTTTTCTATAAAGCACTTATAATAGACATTGCAGGAGGAGCATAGGGTTTATAAAGCAAATATATAATAATTGAAAATTCAGCTTTGTATGCATTGCAGATTGCTGGTCCCCTGGCTGTGTTTGCCCAGCCTAATAGAAGCATTTACATCAGTCCCTCCCCCACGCGTGCACACACACACAACTGCCTCTTCTCTAGATGGTTTAGGAGAAGGTGAATGAAATCACTCCTAGAGACACGGTTGTGAACATGCCTAGAGCCCACCACATTTCTAGCCTCCTAAATGCTCAGCAGCTCAGCGCCCAGCATTTTTTTTTTTTCTTTCTTGGGAATCAGAATCTGTGTCTATTAAGATTGGAGACTTGGGAGCCAGTGCAGTGGTTTGGGAAGCTAATCCTCCACTTCTCTCTCCTGCATCCCATATGGGCATGGGTTTGTGTCCTGGCCACTCCACTTGAACACAGCCCCCCGGCCCCCGATTTTGGTCCTGGAAAGCAGAACCTTCACTCGTGTAGGAGACCTGGCAGAAGCTCCTGGCTCAGCTCAACTCCAGTCACTGTGGCCATTTGGGGAGTGAACGAGCGGGCTGAAGATCTCTTCGTCTCTCCTCTGCAAATCTGCCTTTCAAAATAAAAATTTTTCAAAAATGGAGGCTCATTACCTTGAAGATTTTTAAAGATTTGAAAAAATTTATTATAGGGCCTGGCACACTATGCCAGGCTAAAGTTCTTGCCTTGCACACACCAGGAAATATTAAGCACCTACCTTACAAAGATGTTTCCAGTGATTACTTAGCAAAAGTTACTAAACATACATAAGTAAGCTAAAAGAATTAAAATATAGGGCCCAGTGGGTAGCCTAGCAGCTAAAGTCCTTGCCTTGCACATACCAAGATCCCATATGGGTGCCGGTTCCTGTCCTAGGCTAGTAAAACCATTGTGGAAGTTAGTATAGAAAGTGCTAAGATAGCTGAAAATGGATCTGCCATATGACCCATCTATCCTACTTCTGGGAAATGAAACATGCATATGAGAAAGTGACCTGTCCTATATTTACAACAGCACAATCTACAATAACAAAGATATGGAAACAACCCAGATTCCTGTCAAAAGAGGAATGGATAAAGAAACTGTATGGAATTTACTCTATGGAATGCTACTCAGCCATGAAAGAGAATGAACTACCATTTGCAACAAAATGGTCTCAACTAGAAATAAGCCAATCCCAAAGGACAAATATATGTTCTCTCTGATATAAGGCAACCTTGATGTAATATACAAGATCAATAGATACATAGGTAAACATGCACGTACATATAGTCTCTAGAGGAATTGTATCGTAGACTATCACATTGAGATGTGAAGAGAATGCAGTATGCAGCTCCACTCTATGCTTCCAAATTGAAGATGGACTGCCGCCTTGACAACAGAATGCGGGATTTCTGCCATTCTCTATATCTAAAATGTCATAATACAGTTAAATAGAACAATGGACTTGTGACGGTTACCGAAGGAGCGTACCATAGTAATAATATAGGGGAAATTAGTAGGGGTGAGAAGCAATAGGAAGGGTGGAAGGGGAAATCACTAAGGCTAAGCAACTGTATTATGCAACATAAAAAAGCGGAGCAGCCAGGATTCCAACCAGCATTCACACGCACGCCAGTACAAGCACTGGCTAAGCGCACTGCACCATAAGGCTCACCCCAGGACATTATATTTTTAATAAATGGATATTTGGAAGGAATTCATATTAATAAAAGTTGCAATGTCCCCTTTAAGCTTAGTCTATGATAACATTTCTTTTTAAGATTTATTTATTTATTTTTGGAAAGGCAGATGTACAGAGAGGAAGATCATCTGTCTGATGGTTTTACTCCCCAAGAGACCGCAGTAGTTGGAGCTGAGCCAATCTGAAGCCAGGAGCCAGGAACTTCCTCTGGGTCTCCCATATGGGTGCAGGGTCCCAAAGCTTTGGGCCATCTTCAACTGCTTTCCCAGGCCACAGGCAGGGAGCTGGATGGGAAGCGGGGCTGCTGGGATTAGAACCAGCGCCCATATGGGATCCCGGTGCGTTCAAGGTGAGGACTTTAACAGGTATTCTATTGTACTGGGCCCAACATTTCTTCTAGTATGCTCTTTTCATTCATTATCCTTTATGTGTTTTGCTAAGATATTTGTGTAATGAAGTGAGGAGTGAGCACATGAGTTGGCAGACCATAACACAGGGACATCTGAAACATACCTGTGTTAATAAAAAATACCCTGCCTATGAACTTAAGTTTTCATGTGACTGCTTGCAAGCCATCCATCTCCTGTTTGAAATTCAGCAGGATCTGATTCCTTCAGGGCTCACTTTTAAATGAGACAGTTTGTAGTTATTCTCAGAACAAATGTAGAGTAGTATGTCAAAATAATTATTTTCTTTAGAAGGCAATATATGAGGCAATAATAATGATTCCTTTATATAGATTCCAGATTTTCCTCAGGAACTCTGAGCCTATAGGTCTCTCCCATAGGCTCCTCATCTTAGAGCTAACTTCACTGCAGTGTGGGCCAGCTGGGCAGATCTCTCTGTGTCTCCATGCAAAGCTAGAAGTGTCCCAATGAACCAATACATGGGTCTCAGCAGCACATCCAAGACTTACAGAGTCCATCCAACTATAACTGCCTCATCACTCAGAGAGGAACAAAGTATGTAGTTTGTTCTTCACAATAATGGGACATCCGGGGCAGATCACACAGGGGACCTCACCAAACTTTGCTGAGGGGACAGGTTCTCATGCTTCCATGAGACTCCCTTTTCACCCTGTGACCTCCTAGGTATCCAAGGGAATCTACTTGTGCCCCAGGTCCTCTCAGTGTATCGTCATGAATGTATTAGACAAACGTGCTGCCCTGTACAGTGGTAAAGATGGTCAAGGCAGCTGCTTAGCTCAGCGCTTAAGATGCTGCTGCCCTACCCTGGAGTTGTCTGGGTTCAGTTCCCAGCTGTGGCTCTTGATCCGAGCTTCCTGACAATGTGAAAGGCGTTGAAGGTGATGACGGTGCCACCGCCAGACGCTGCGTTCCGCACGGGACATCGGAGTTTATTTCCCAGCTTGAGCTTCCCAGCCTGGCCCAAGCCTGGCCATCACGTAGAACTCTTTTAAAAATAAAAAATGCATTTTAGCAGAATTAACATTCTGCATTGTAGCTTTTTGAGATAAACTGCTTCAGGTGTCCTACTAGAATAAGGCAAAAAGAAAAAGAAAAAAAAAAAAAGACTGAATCGTTAGTAACCTAGTGATTGGCTCCAGAACAAACTTGATCACAGCTGCAGTTAGAATCATCATCTGTTTATGACCCATGTGTTTTATGCCAAAGATGTTAAACCGATATATGCTAGCGAGCACATTGCTGCTTATTTTCAAGATTTAATCATGTGATTTGTCTCTAAATCTTATGGTACTTCCTGTCAAAATAGCACTTTACTACTGAATCAGAGGTATGTTGGGATTGTGTCATGCAAAATAAAGATAACATTTTTAAAAAATACATGTAATTTTATCACCTTAAAAAACAGATTGATTCTTGTAAAAATCAATTCCAACGCTTCACAGGGAAAAGGACTGGAGCGTGGGTTCATTCCTCTC